TTGAGGGTTTAGGGTTGAGGGGTCTAGAATTGGAGCGTGTGGACTTGCAGCCCATAAGCGGAGGCCTGACGAGATTTAGCCCCGGCGCCTAGCAAATGCCAAGTGTCCGCCCTGAAGACCTGGCAGCCTCCTTTTCCCCAGGACTCTATATGGCCCAAAGTATGCACGAGTTCTTTCCATATGGGTCGTTCTCTAGACTAGGGTCCCTTTTTAGGTACCCAATATAGTACGGCACCCTTATAAGAAGGACCCTAAAAGTGAGCCTAATTTAGAAAACTACCCATATGGCCCAAAGTATCTACGAGTTCTATCCATATTCGTAGACTTTAGACCCTGAAGTACGTAATTTTATGTCGGCCTTAGACCTGAGGCCCTAAACCCTAAACCCTAAACCCTGAACCCTCAACCCTAAACCCTAAATCCTAAACCCTAAGTCGTGTTTGATTTCTTGGAGTCTTAGGGTTTGGCCGCTGACTACTTGCCATCCTCACCCCCGAAGGGCTTTCGCATCGGGGCTCTAGGGGGTTTAGGTTTGGGTTTAGGGTTTAGGGGTGTAGGGGTTAGGTTCCCAAACAAAACGGAAGGTGCAATGCCCGGGGCCTGGATGTTTGGAAAAGTTTTTGAGGAGTGCTACACTGCTACACGACAAACATTACCAGGAAGTGTTCAGTATTTGGGCTTCCATATTCGAAAACCGTAAACCCTCAACCCTGAACCCTAAACCCTAAACCGTAAAACCCTAAAACCCTGAAACCCTAAACCCTAAACCCGATTGACTCCGAAGCCCTTCGGCCTTAGATTGCACACCCCTACATCTCACACACAGAAGAACACAGCTATGCAGCTGTTGGTCTTTGGCATCAAAGCCTCCAGACTAGACCCGATGCCATGGATCCAGAATCGGCCAGAACTGCCAGATTTTAGGGGTTTTGGTGTTTAGGGTTTAGGGTTTAGGGTTTAGTGTTTTGGTGTGCGTCAGGTCATCTAGGCGCCATATGGTATCAACACCAGCTAAAGTTCTAATCAAAACAAGATAACCACGAGCGTCACCACGAACAGCACTACAAGCCTTGTAGATCCATGAATCCTTAAACCCTAAGCCCTGAAGCCAAGCCCCTGGGCAAGCCTGGAGTTCCAAAGATGGTTGCTCTTCAATCGAAGCGAAACTGGCCATCTAGGATGGTTTAGGGTTTAGGGTTTTGGGGTTTAGGTTTTAGGGTCTAGGGTTTAGGCATGTTACCTCGTAGTGTGTAGGGAGTTTAGGGTTATGGGGTTCAGGGTTTAGGGGTTTAGGGTTCAGGGTTTAGGGGTTTCGGGTCTACAAGTTCTGCGGCTCAGGGCTTCGGGGGTTCAGGGTTTTGTGCTTGAGGTCTTGAGGTCCTTTCAAGGACTGTTGCAAAGCATGACAGTCTTTTGTGCAGGTATTTCTAAAGTATAATTCCTTTCCATTCACTCAACTTGGCAGGTCTTGGCTGCGAATGTCGTGGGGAGAAGCTACCTGGAACGGAAGAAACTAAACCCTAAACCCTAAACCCTAAACCCTAAACCCTAAAGGGGTGTGTTCTGCTCGTCTTTGTCGTAGAATTCCTCACCGCGGCTTGGCGTTTTGGGTTACGACGAATCTAGAACCGAGAGGCTCCATCTGGGTTTAGGGTTTAGGGTTTAGGGATGAGTGTGGAATTCGGTGCCACAAAACTACCCCAAACTATGATTAGAGCGGTCTTTCGGGGTCGACTTCCGAAAGGGCAGTATCTTTCAACCCTCTAGAGATCCCCAAGGCTCAAAATAGCCCAAAAAAGCATTATATAGTATGGTCTTTGGGCCCAAAGCCTCAAGCTATGAGTCCTTAGAGCGCTAGGAGATCGGAAGCCGTTCGGGTTTGTGTTTGGGGGGAGTCTGACACTTGGATCTGTCTGATTGTGCGCAGCGGGATCCCGTCGATTAGTGGGCTTTCAGGTTTGACAGTGTTTAGGTTTTTTAGGGCTTTAGGGGTTTAGGGTTTAGGGTGTAGGGCCACGTGTGAATTTATGGGAGCCGAATTAGCCAGCAGTGCTATAAAAATCTGTTCCACCCCGATCGAGCTGACACCGACCCTATGCAATCAAGCCCTGCAGGCATCTGTCATAGTGTAGTGACAAACCCTAAACCCTAAACCCTTAAACCCTAAAACCTAAAACCCTAAACCCCTAAACCCTAACACCCTAAAACCCTAAAGCCCTAAACCCTAACACCCTAAAGCCCTAAACCCTAAACCCTATAACCCTAAACCTAAA